CTATTGTACATAGGGTCGGTATGAGTTATAAGCAACTCAATGGCACATAACAACAACAACAACAACAGACATTTTAATTTGCACATGAGTAACTGCTGGTATGTTCCACAATCATCACCTCGCCTGGTTTTAACTGCTGGTACTGAGAATCACTCCTATGATTCTTTCCCCAAATGTTTTCAGTCTGATGATTTCAGTGCAATCCATAAGGTGAAGCTCATGTGTATAGTTGTCCTTTGTGGTGAGTTGTTTTGGGTTTTTTTTTTAAAGGTATTTGCAATGAATAAATCATTGAATGTACAAAATCCAATCATTCATCCTCCAGCCTCATTTCTGTCAACAAATCTGTATTTTCCAATTGTTGTTGTTCTTATGTGCCGTCAAGTCACTTGTGACTCATAGTGACCCTATGTACAACAGCCGTAAACCCTGCTCTGTCCTGTGCCGATTGCACTGCCTCCAACACACCCATCCCGATTACCCCAGTCCCTGAATCAATCCATCTCATAGAGGGTCTTCTCCTCCTGCGCTGTGCCTCCACACTCCCAACCATGATGTCCCTCTCCAAGGACTGGTCCCTCCTTACAACACGTCCAAAGTATGTCAGATGAAGCCCCAGAATCCTTGCCTCCAAGGAGCAGCCTGGTTTAACCGTCTCCAGGAGGAATCTGTTTGTTTTCTTAGTAGTCCATGGTACACTCAATACTCTTCTCCAGCACCACAGCTCAAAGGCGTCAATTCTCCTTCTATCCTCCTTGGTCATTGTCCAACTCTCTGATGCATAACAAGTGATTGCAAAGACCATGGCCCGTATCAGATGAACCTTAGTCTCCAGAATGACTCCATTGCTCATCAGTACTTTGGAAAGGTCCTAATAGCAGACTTTCCCATCGCAATACATCTTTTAATTTCCTGTCTGCTGTTGCCAAGAGTGTTGACTGTGGAGCCTTTTTCTTTCCAACTTTTGCATTCTGGTCAACAATTATTGTTAGCTCATCTTGAAGAGCGAGCTCAAGTGGGTAGTTTGCAAAGAGTTATGTGCCTAATCTAAAGGCCATGCCTCTTGGCTGTTTGAATCCACCAGTGGTTCAATGAGAGTAAGATGGGCAATCTCCTCTTGTGTGATTTACAGCCTCAACAACAACAAAAAAATCTGGCAGTTCAGCTGTGAGTTGGTTTTGACTTAAATGCAATGAGTATAAAGAAACATATATAATGATGTTGATTATATCTTTTTATATGCTTAAAATCATATCAAGTATTCACCTTCAAGGGATTAGTTAAGTAGAGTCTTTGAAATAATACCACACACTGGATCTGCAGTTTTCCTCAGGCTGTTCCTGTGCATTCTTTCTTCATTCTCATATTTGGCATCCTATGTGCCTATTTCCATTGCTTTTGAAATCTAAATACATATATTTTCATCAAAATGCATTATAACCTTCTCCCAACTGGTCTGTGTCTGGTTAACAATAAGTGCTCTCTCTTATATTCCAAACCTCTGTCTCATAGATCAGTCTTGGTGTACTTTAAGTTTTCATTGTACATAACCTAAAACTTGTACATGGCATTGTTCTGAGCTTCTTTTCCATTTTTATTGCATGCACAATAGTAGTTACTCTATTAGTTCACACTCCACCAATTTGTGAGAAATTCCTGACCGAAAACATAGATTATGTTACTGCTGAAAATATAAGATTTGACAAGAAAGAGGAAGAATTTGCTGTCAGATATTAGATATTCCTACAAATCATGTCCATTACTCATTTGTCAGTTTGTCATATAATGGTAGCCTGTATAGTGATGTGCTACTAGAAAATATGCTAGCAAGATCTTAAATACTAGTCAACTATAGCTAATGGGCCTCAGTGGTGCTGCCAGACTAAAAAAATTAGGAAGAAAGGTCAATGGCTAGCTGTATTCTTAAAATGAACCCATGAAAACCCTACAGATTCCAACAGAATGTTATCCAAAGAGTGATGGAAGATAAGCCCATAGGCTTGAAAAGGACTCAAAATACATAGTAGCTGCATAATGGACGCTAGCATACCAATGATTGTGAAAACGGCACAGGATTGGGTAATATTTTGTTCTGTGGTACAAGAGGTCATCATGTACTGGAGCTGAAGTAAAATATGAAATAGAACACATAAAAGTTATATCCTAGGCATTATGTTCTAGTGAGCTGTGATGGACTAGTACTGGCTATTTTGAGTCGGACAATAATATAACCTACTATGTTGAAACTGTAATATATATATATATACACACACACACACACACACACACACACACACACACACACACGCCATGGAAAAATTGAAGAGGAATAGTGTAGCTTTCATCATAAAAAATATCCAAGATCTGTCCTGAAATATAATGCTCTTAGTTATAATGTACATATGAACGTACAATGTACGTACAATGTACATACAATGTACGTTATAATGTACATATAACGTACAATGAAGACATGTTAATACAAGGATTATTTAAATATGTGCAACCAATCACTAAAGTGACAGTTTTTTTTCACCACTTGTTAAGCGTCTGAGGGCTGGACAATGAATAAGAAAGACAGAAGAGGAACTGGAGCCTTTGATATGTGGTGCTGGAGAAAAGTACTAAATATCCCATTAACTTCCAAAAGAACCAACAGGTAAGTCTTGGGTAAAGTGCAGCTAGAGTGCATCTTTTAGGCAAAGATGGCAAAGCTTCATTTTATATATTTTGTTTGGGCATGCTGCTAAGAAAGTTTATTCTTTGGAGAAGGATATCATGCTTGGAAAGGTAGAGGGTCACAAAAGAGAGGAAGACCCTTAATCATCTGGATTGGTGGTAAAATTACTGCAGCAATTGGTTTAAGTTTGTCAGAGATAATGTGAATAGCACAGGATAGGACAGAGTTCACATCTGTGGTTCACAGGGTTGCTGTGAATCATTGTTCACTTGATGACACCTAACAACAACAACCCAAATATACAGTTTGAAATTGAGCATGGAAATGGATGCAATAATTATAAAGAAGTTGGAAGCAAAGAAGAAGGGTTAGTAGTTGGAAAAGATTGCATTTCTGACAGAAATAAAGCTGGCAATCATATGATAAAAATGTGTACACTCTATGATTTGCTCATTGCAAATACTTTAAAAATCCATAAGTGGTGACCATGCACATGGACCTCACCTGATGAACCCCTGAGAATTAAATTAGTTATACTTGTGGTGGCATAAGTCAATAACATCAGTCAGAGCAAGGTCAGGGACATACCATAGGACAGAGCACCAAATGCTCATATGCAAGTTCAAACTGAAGCTGAGAAAAAGAAAAAAGAAATAAAACAAATCCAGGAAAGCCAAACTGCAACCTTGAGTTTATCACACCTAAATTTAAAACCCACTTCAAGAATAGATTGATGCACTGAAAAGATTCAATACATTGAACACAAGACCAGAGGATTTGTGGGATAATATCAAGAGCATCATATGTGACGAAACAAAATGTCATTAAAAATATAGGAAGGACAGAAGAGATCAAACTGGATGTAAAAAAAAAAAAAAAGATACTCTGAAACTTGCTCTTGAACATAGATAAATGGAGAAAAGATTCAAGTCATCAATGATTTAATTTTATTTGGTTCCATCATCAATACCCTTGAAAGCAGCAGTCAAGAAGTCAAAAGATGTACTGTATTGCAAATATCTGCTGCCAGAAGTCTCTTTAAAGTGCTAGAGTAAGGATGCCAGTTTAATGAGTAAGGTGGATTTGATCCAAGCCATATAATTTTCAGTCACTTCACATGAATGTGACAGTTTGAAACTGAATAAAGAAGACTGCACAATTGGTGCCTTTGAATTGTGGTATTGGCAAAGAAGGTTTAATAATGCTCTGGACTGCCAAAAGAACAAGTAAACCTGTCCAAGAAGAAGTGTAGATAGGGTGATCCTTGGAGACAAAGATGATGGATGATGGTGAGACTTCATCTCCCACTTTTTGCATATGTTAATCAATTGAATTCAGTCCTTGGAAGAGGATATCACCCTTGGCAAGTGGAGGATCATCAAAGGAGAAGACCACCTCATGGGATGGATTGACATAGTGACAATGAACTTAATCACAGCAGAGATTGTAATCATGGTGCAGGATTGGACAAAATTTCAAACAGTTATATGCACAATGTCTATGAGTTGAAATAAACTCAATGGCACCTAACAGTAACACCAAGTCTAGTTTAAAGAGCTCTTCCCAATATAATATACATTACTAACATCTGAAGGGAGAAAGGAAATAACATTTGAAAGCATACTAATAGTAGGATGTTTTGTGAATTTACATAGAGTCATTTCACTCTTAACCTAATGCCTTGGAATTCTAGTGGACAAATTAAAAATTAAAGTCTCAGGTTACCATGCTTCAGCAAGGAAAAACAATTAGCAAATAAAATCTAAATTAAAACAGTTATCTCTTAATCTAAAGAATTCTATAGTTAATGACTTTAGGCATGAAAAGACAGATTATGTGTTCACTTTTCTAAATGTTCTTCATTGTACCCGGATGAGAGAATGCGTTCTCTATGTTCAAAGTAAACAACTGGTTTTGAAATTGAACCAAGAAGCAATATCAGTACATTTGTTAATTGCTCTTTTCTTGTGTAGACTATAGATTTGAATTTTAGGCATATTACTTATGTATTTTCTAAAAAAGTTTTCAAATTTTTGATGCCAGTTAGAAAAATCAATAAGTCACAAGGTAAATATCGTAATCTCTTATATATTCTTATTTATTACAATGCCTTTTGAGAGTATATGCTCGGTTGAAAATAAGTTTGATGCAGGCTATAAAAACCATGAAACTTAGATATTCCAAAAATTATTATTTTTCTTGCATCTAATTAGGATTGGATCTAGAAAACCATTGATCATTTAGATTTGTTGTTATTGTTTAATCCAAATAGTAAATAGATATATAGCACGCATATTTTTTTATATTAAGCAGATTTTACCTTTCTTTTGCTTCTTCTTGTTTTTTCTTTTGTAGTTCTGCTCGTAATCTTTCTAAAATATTAGCATCAATTTCAGTTTTATTCTGCAAATACAATCTATTAAGTAAGTACTTTCCTGAAACAGAAATGAAAAAAAATAATATTATTTTTTAATCTGCAGAACATACTCTGAAAATATATTTTATAAAATAAAAGTTAAAAAATTTCTACATATATAAAAATATAATTTCCTTCAAGATGTTATCCAAATAGACCACAGAGTCTTTACAATATTGCTGTTATTAAGCCAATATTATTCTAAATGAAGAGATAGTAAATGTAGTCCCTTTGTGAATGTATACCAGACAGAGCGGCCCTCTATAACCACTCCTATTCAACACAATATCAGAACTCTTAGCTAGGGCAATAAGGCAAGGCAATGAAATAAGAGGCATCCAGATTGACAAAGGGGATATAAAACTATCTCTGTTTGCAGACAATATGATGCTAAATAGAAACTTAGCAAGAAAATCATTGCAGTTGAACAATTCAGCAAAGTGGTAGGCTTCAAAGCAACACACAAAAATCAGGCAGTTCCTCGACAGTAAAAGAACTCTGAGAAGGGAATAAGGAAATCAATGTCACATAGAGTAGTCACCAAAAAGATAAAGCACTTATAAAAAAACCAAAGATACAAGTCTTTGCAAAAGACCTATGCAAAGAAAACTGCAAAACACATTAAGAAACCAAAAAAAGACATACATAAATGAAAGAATAAACCATGCTCATGGATAGGAAGAACTAACATTGTGAATATGTCAATACTACCAAAATTTATCTACAGATATAATGCAATCCTAATTTAGATCCCATTATCAGTTTTTTAAAAAGCTGCACAAAGTAATTATTAACTTTATATGGAAATGAGTGTGACTCTGGATAAGCAAAGCAGTAACTGAAGAAGAAAAACAAAGGTAGAAGATTTTTACATTCCCTGATTTCAAAACTTACTACACAGATAGGTTGTTGTTGTTTTGAGGCGTTGAGTCACCTTTGACCCATAGCAACACTATGTACAGCAGCTCTGAAGCCTGCCCTGTCTTGAGCCAGTCTCACTGACTCCAACACATTGTCCCAGGTACTGTATCAATCCATCTCATCCGGGGTCTTCCTCTCCTGTGCTGTCCCCCACCCTTCTGAGCATGATATCCTCCAAGGATCAGTCCCTCCTGGCCACATGCCCTAAGTATTTGAGACATAGCTTCAAAATCCTAGCCTCTAAGGAGAAACTTGGTTTCACCCTCTCCAAAACAGACCTATTTGTTTTCTTGGCAGTCCATGGCATATTCTAGACTCTTCTCCAGCACCACAAGTCAAAGGCATCAATTCTTCTTCTGTCATCCTTAGTCATTTTCTGGCTTTCTGATGCATAGCAAGCAATTACGAAGACCCTGGCCTGGGTCAGGTGCACCTTAGTCTCTAGACTGACATCATTGCTCTTCAGTACTCTGGAAAGGTCCCTGACAGCAGATTCACCTAATGCTGTTCTTTTTTTTTATTTCCTGACTGCTGGTGCCAAGAGTGTTGATTGTGGAGCCAAGCAAGCTGTAATGGTTAACAACCTCAGTCTCTTCTCCATCCATTACGGTGCATGGTATTTAAAATAATGTGGTGCTTACTGGTACAGCTACTGACACACATAATACAGTGGAATAAATTTGAGAGCTAAGAAGAAAATTCATCCACCAATAGACAACTAACTTCTTTTTTTTTTTTTTTTTGACAAGGAGACAAAATCGATTAATTGGAGGAGAACTGTTGTTAGGTGCTGTAGAATTGAGTATGACTCATAATGACCCATGAACAAAAGATCCGAACCCTGTTCTATCCTGTGCCATCCTCACACTTCCTGACACTCTGGAGCACATTGCAGCAGTCACTGTGTCAATTCACCTGGTTGAGGGTCTTCCTCTCCTTTGTGGACCCTCTATCTTTCCCAGCATCATGTCCCTCTCCAAGGATTAGCACCTCCTAGCAACATTCCCAAAGTATGTGAGGCGAAGGCTCATCATTCTTGCCTCCATAGAGCACTATGACTGCACTTTCTCCAAGACATAGTTGTTCTTTGGGCAGTCCTTGGGATGTTCAGGGTTCTTCTCCAACATCACAGCTCAAAGGTGCGAATTCTTTTTCTGTCGTCCTTATTCATTGTCCAGCTGTCACATGCATAGCAAGTGACCGGAATTTCAAAATCATCTTAGGAATAGGTTTGAGGCACTGAACACCAATGAACGAAGACCATATGACTTATGGGATGATATTATCCATGAAGAAAGCAAAATGTCATTATAAAAACAAAGGAGAAAGAAAAAAGAAAAGTGGATGTCAGAAGAGACTCTAAAAATTGCACTGGAGTGCTGAGAAGCCAAACCAAAAGGAAAACATGTTGAAGTAAAAGAGCTGAACAAATTTCAAAGGGTAGCTCAGGAAGGAAAAAAAAAAGATAATAAAATAAACAGCTGGAATTAGAGAATAAAAAGGGAAGAACTCGCCCTGCATTTCTCAAGCAGAGAGGAGAGGATGAAAAACAAATTTAAGTTTTGTGTCACAATATTGAAAGAATTGGAGGCGACACAGGCTCTTAAGAGCGCTGGCAAAATGGGATATCTATTTGCATAAAATTGAAACATGGTCCATACCTTATACCATATTTTTAAAAAAAGTAGCTTAAGATAGATCAAAGATCGAAGAGTAAAACCTAAAACTACAAAGATCATTAGAAAAAATAGAGGCAAACTTAAAAGCCTTAACCTGTGGCATAAATAGGCAATTAAACATAACCAAAAATACAGAGTCAGGAAAGGATAAACCAGATCAATGTGACTTCCTAAAAATTAAATCCTGTATGCATCAAAACCTTACTCTAATAGAGTAAGAAGAGAACCTGCAGACTGGGTAAAAATATTTGGTAATGATATATTTGACAAAGGGTTCATCTCTAAAATTTATAGAAGATGTCAACATCTCAACGACAAAAAAAGACTCATAACCCAGTTTAAAAATTGGCAGAAGACATGAAAAGATAATTCATCAAAGAAGACATTCACATGGCCACAAACACATGAAGAAATGATCACTATCATTAGCCATTAAAGAGATGCAGATAAAAGCAACAATGAGCTATCCCTCCACCCAAGCAACAATAACAAATAAGACAGTAAACAGCAAATGCTAGTGAGGATGTGGAAAGATTGGAATTCTCATAACCTGCTGGTGGAATTTAAATGGTGCAACTACTTTTTATTGAAGCCTCTTGTTAAGAGTCAACAAGAGCTCAAGGAGGGCCTTTGTATTAAAAAGTCTCTTGTTATTAAATTTTGGAGGACATTATTCTAAGTGGTACAGCACTCCTCTGTCAATTTGCTCTACTGAGGTAACCTGGGGTTGCTATGATGCTGAACCTTGTGCTATTGGGGTATCAAATGCCATAACGGTTACCCATGGTGGACAGTGTTTGGTGGAGCTCCAAGTTTAAGACAAGGTTTGAAGTAGGAGTGACATCCACTTCCTAAACAACATGCCTCTGGAAACTCTATGAACTTTGAGAAATGATGATAGTTATAGAAAGGCTTCAGGTCTTTTGTTTATAGGTCACTATGAGTCATGCTCGACTTGACAGCAATCAACAACAGCAACACTACGGAAAGCAGTTAGACATTTCCTTAAAAAATTTAAAATAGCAGTACTATTTGGTCCAGTAATTTCACTACTTTAGGGTATATATCTTAAAGAAATGACAGCTGTGACATTAACAGACACATGAATAAAGAAATGAGCTCATTGCTGTCAAGTAGGAACTGACCCAAAGCTGATTGTCCACTGGGTTTCCAAGTCTGTAAACCCAATTTTAGATTAGCAGTACAACTCCATATGGACTATGCCACCAGAGCTCCCTTAATATAAACATGTCCATGTTTATTGCAGAATTATTCTCTGTAGGAAAAAGAAGATAAAACCCAAGTGTCCATCCATTGACAAATGGCTAAAGAAATTATAGTGCATTGATACAACAAAAACTATGTAACACTGTGAAACAATGTAACACTGTGAAACAATTAATTTAAAATATGCTGCTTAACACTGACAAATCAAGTGGACATTATGTTGAGTGAAGTAAGTTTGTCACCAAAGAGCAAATGTTGTATAAGACTACTATTATAAAAAGCTAAAGAAAGGTTTAAATACAGATAAAATAATTCTAGGGAGCTCCGGTGGCCTAGAGAGTAGGGAGTTGCACTGCTAACCTAAAGGCACACAGTTTGAATCCACCACCTGCTTTCTGAGAGAAAGATGGGCAAACTCCCGTGTAATTTGTGGCCTCTTAAAACCCGCTTGAGGATCAGCTATGAGCCAGTTCTAGCCTAATAGCAATCATACAGACAGACAAAATCATTTTACTATGGCTAGCAAGGAGGGGAAGAGAGGAAGAGGAGAGTCTTTTTTTAAAAAAAGATAGATTATAAACAACTATTAGATATCATCTCACCCCAGTCAGAATAGCAAAGTTTAACGGAACAGCAAGCAACAAATGCTGGTGAGGTTGTGAAGAAAATGGAACCCTTATTCACTGTTGGTGGAAGTGTAAAATGGTGCAACCACTGTGGAAGGCGGTATGGCACTTTCTCAAAAAGTTGCAAATAGAGATACCATTTTATCCACCAATTCCACTACTGGGAATATACCCCAAAGAGACCATAACTCACATCCAAG